GAAATACACTACAATAAGTTCAATTTATTTCACCTCTAATAGTTTGCACTTTTATGTTTTAACAAAGAAGAGGCGCCAGGCTAAGGGTTTGTCATGGCAAAAATTTCATCCTTCAAAAATTTTATGTGATTGAGTAAACACAAATAGCACGGCTGGTTAACACCAGTGAAGATAATGAAAACTGTGCCAACAATAATTACTCCACAAATCGTGAATTTTCGCATCAAATCATGTACATTGATATTCATTTACAAATTGTGTTGGTCGGTTAAAACGGGCGTTACAAACTTTAGGCAGCGAAGGTTGGGAGATGCACAAGTGAAGACTTGTTTTGACAAAGCTATTGAAAATGTCATGTTTAAAGAAATACCAGCTGTGCTTAGGGACCGTTGTTGTTTTTATGGATGAAACACCAGCATTACCTGCTTTCACGCTCTGCAGTCTGTAAAGCAGGCTTGAATAACATAAACATTCAAAACATTGAAACGATGCGCTGCGTTCCTATTATGAGAAGAAAATCGTTACAAATGTCATGCTTGGTTGGCGAAAACACAAGGTCAAAACGATGAGGAATCGTAACTCGAGCTTTCCTTGGGTGATCGGTGGTTTATTCATGTGTGTTCCAGTACTGTTGTATCTAGCGTCACAAACTAATGTGGCTCAAGTTAACAAAGACAAAGGAGCAAGCGAAAATCACCATGCTGTCGATATCAAATACATTGAATTTTTCTCGGTGAGGTAAGAGATGTCTTCTTCTCAAATTGCCGGACTAGCTACGGTAGATGCAACTTGATGTGATTAGTTTTATGCTAGTTCAATTTAGGTACGGGTCGTTCAAATTCAAAGCTTATAGCGCTGTCAATAGATTGAGTTGTGAGAGTTCCAGCTGGGTCTATATTTTTCAGAAAAACTGGCAACAAAATATTTCTTTTACACATATATCGATTAGGCTNAAAGCCTTATTGAGTTCTAATATTTTCCCTTTAACTTCTTTTAAGAATCCCTTGCGGTCCTAAGCGTCCTTTCAAAAATGTAGTGCTTCTAAAAACTCACCGAAGCGGAAGTGGAACATTGGCCAACATTATGTACAGATACGGCGATTTGAATGAGCTGGACTTTGCACTTCCAAAGCAGAGAACATATGACTTTTACTGGCCTCTGCACTTCAATCCCAGTTTTGTAGACAAGACGTACCTCAACTCCACCGCTCCAAACTTTCTTATCAACGCTAGATACGGTCCAGATTCAATGGCATCCTTCATGCCCAAGGTATGTATCAAAGAGATTGGTCTGGACCTTCAATGAGCGACAAAGAACTTGAAGGGCTTTTAGAAAATGACACTTTACAATATTGAAATCCCTCTTTGATTTCAGATGCATCTAGAAATAATTCTCTGACACTCCCCTCCCCCTCTCCATCAATGAAATGTTATGCAGGTGCTGTTGTCTACGCATTCTTTCGTCTTGAGCTACAAAACCAACAGGGGCGGGCACGGGGGAAAAATAGCTCCGAGGCGCTCGAAGATTTAAAGTTAAGAATCACTTCTTTGTAATTGGTCAAAAAATCAATCGCCATCACTCCTTTTCAGAATAGAAAAGGGTCAGTTCAAAATATACGATCACTTTTCGAACTACGTTGCTAGCGTGGTCCTCTTACCATTACAAAGCAGTTTCTTGTCACATGGTTCTTTTTTCCTCTTCTTGTTTACTCACTGGTACATTAACCATTTTAATCGACTAATTTTTTTCAGGACTCTTTCTATGTTGCCTTGATTCGAAAGCCCACGAGCCATTTCGAATCTGTCTTTTACGGGTATCAAATTGACACCCTGCTTGGAATGAATACCACCAGCAACCCGTTTGATGAATTTCTGACCAAACCAAGACAGTATCTGTTACACTATCTGCAGCAGAAGCCACGATTTGACATCAATATAAACATGGCAAAAAATGGTCGGTTAAGTATCTCTATTATATAAAATTTAGTGGTATACCGAGTGGGAGCAAATCGATAAAAACACCATCCCGGTAGTGGTGATATCATTTTTATCCACACAAGTGTGATATCATATTTGACCAATCAGCTTGCAGTATTTTCACGCGCTGTCAAACACTTCTGGTTTTGTTTCATTGCGAGGGTGATATATTATAAAAAAAAAAAAAAATGCATGGTCGCTTGGAGATACGAAATTTCTAGATCTCTTCTCGTGTTGAAAAATATTTCACTCAGTCGCTGCGTCACTCGTGCAATATCTTTCAACACTAGTTCGAAGAAATATTTCGTATCTCAGCGCGGCCATGTATTACAATCTCTCTATTTAATGCATGAAATACTACTATCGGCATGCGGATTGACGCTTAATCAATCAATCAGAGTTTAAGGCAGATCATCGGATATGAACAGGACAGGAGGTTGAACTTTAAGATGAATTACACTTTAGTGTTTAAATTTATTTTCTTTTTTTGTTTTTTTTAATTTTACTTCTGGTCAAGGTTGAATTGGTTCTTGTGAAACCAAATTATCCCCCCCTCCCCACCCAAAAAAAAGTAACATTACATTTATAGCTTTAATTTCATTGCTAGTTAATCTCCTTGATTTCTTGTTACCTTAAGTTATTTAAAATATTGTGGCTCCCTAATAATAGTGGACATGGACTCAATCGTACCTCCGTTACTTTGCAAACCTGTTTAGTAATTGTCTGTTTCTTACGCAGGGCAGATATTTGACCTTGGTCTCCAGCACAAATACTACAATGACCCACTGATGATCCAGAAACACATTGATGAACTGACGGAGAAAATTGACCTGGTTCTTATCATGGAGTATTTTGACGAATCTCTCGTTTTACTGAAAAGGGAATTATGCTGGGAGTTAGATGATGTGGTTTATTTCAAACTAAGTCAAAGATCAAAGGAGTACAAGCAGGCGAATATAACGGATCAGCAGCAGGTATAATGCCTTTGGCTTTGTCTAACCTTAACAAGCACGCTCTCTTCATTTCTTTGGTTTGTGATCTGTACCCACCCGAATCTGATACAGGCCATTTCACATAATTTGAAATTAAACATTTCAACCCAAAATCTCGCAACTGGATCTTAATGGGGTTTTTGCATTGGTGTATATGGACTACGTATTCAAATCACATTCAGTTGGCCGCACCGGAAACATGCAATGAGCGTATAAAAAGATGTAAAACATCCTGCAATAAATGAAGAACTGATGATCAAAAAGCGCGCACCACTTATTAACATAGCCATCTGTCTAGTTTCAACAACGTTGGTCATGTCGCTGTAACTCAATTTATAAAAACAAAAGGAACAAATGTTCATTCTTTATGGTGTGTATTTGCAGGCGCAGATTAATGAGTGGAACAATGCAGACGCTGCCTTATATGACTTCTTTAATAAAACCTTCTGGAATAAAATCGCCAATCAGGATCAGACCTTTTATCAAGAAGTCAAAGAACTACGTAGAAAAATCAGGGACCTTGAGGAAGAGTGTATTCATTCGCTGCAAACAAACGACGATACGGGAGAAGTGGAGGTTAAACTTTACACTAACTTATCTGCAAACATCAACAAATACTTATGTGATAAAATGACTATGAAAGAGGAGAGTTACATAACGTACTTAAAAAAGAAATTCAGCTTGAAGCTTGGGGAACACAATGACCATCTACGATACTTGTTTTACAGCAAGGTAAATAAAACCAGATTGGAAGAGTCGGAAGTCGTGTAGATAACATTAGCGTGGAATTATTCACACGATTCACAATCTCGCAGATCCAGGACAGTAATACAGTCGGTCAGAGCAGTAAAGGCTTTCTCCGATGCAAACATTCATTGGAATCCAGAGCTACAAGCTACGACATCTAGAGTATTCCGCTCTCACAAAATGAACTCTCGTTCAAAGAAACAATCAGGGTATCGTAAGGTTTAGTTAAACGCACATGTGTTCTGCGCTTAACTGAAATCTATAGAACTCTATAATACATGTAGGTGATTTTGTATATTCGAATAGACTGATTGTTTGGCAATACGAAGAAAGCAGTTTTATATATAATATTTTATATCTACAGTTGTATCTTTAATAAACAACAAACAAATTGCTGAAAAAACCAAATGCCTCCGTTGATGTAAGAAGGACTGTAAATCTCATCATAGCTACCTACACAGTTTTACCCTCTTTTCAAGTTAGCGCCATTCCACTTACTACAGCTGTCTTGTTGGCTACTGGATTACTGAAAGAAGAAAACGGCAAAGCTATTCCAGTGCAATTATTAAACGTAAATTTAATGATGTCGTTTCTGTGTCTTTTTCAGTCGTTACGGCTGCCTGCTAATTCCCCTTTTTGTACAAGCTATTGGCTATCAAATTAATCGACGCACTGCTACAGTTACCTTAAATTAAAGCAATCTTAGGTAAAGATTGTTTTAATTTAAGATCACTGATAATACAATAAGTTCTACAATGTACAAGATATTTGCCCAAAAAGTTCAACACGAGAATCTGAATTGAGATAACAACGGAACATAGCAACCCACGCAACCATTATGAAAAAATGATTTTTTTTTTCTCTTTCTATCCCTCCCTTCCCCCTCGACTCCTGCTCCTTGCGCTGGACTAGGAAACAGATCTGAAAGGAAGGTTCGCACAGAATATTCCCAAAGATGGTACAGCTACGAGTAGTCATACCAAGAAATCTCGAATCTTAAATTTGAACAAAAAAAAGTGTACCCGGACCGTTTTTCATGTTTTATTTCAGTGCTATATCAAAAATGTTTTAATACAATGTTATGATATTATGTCTACGAAGCAACCAGATGATTATTATTACTTTAACATAATTATTACTTCTCAATGGTATTTTTCTTTTTTTTTTTATTATTATTATTTTTTTTTTTATCTTGGTCTCATAGCGAGACATGCAAGTTTGAATACATCATAATTTTGTTGCTGTGAGAGAACCCTTAACTTCCTAACTGACAAAACCGCAGTTGGTTGATTCACACTTCCATTGGAGAATCTACAACAAAACAAGACACCTGTTATTCATATACCAGATTGTACAACCTCCTTCCCAGGCTCTCGGGGACGAGGCGTGCAGATTCACAGTTTTCCAGACACAAAGGTAGATATAAATAAATTGGCCAACATTGAAATGAATTCGAGAATACATGTATGTAGTTATATTTGTTTGTTACAATGCACGTGCAGTTTAGTCTGCGGTCGGCGCGTACGCCTTGTAACTTGAAAAACAATCATAAAAAAAAAAAATAAGTAAAAAAAAAAACTCTAATCTTTAGTCAGAAAACAATTTTGAGCGTAACGTTTATGTTGCATTTGTCTCGATCCCCTTGTTTCCAAACATGATCTATTGTAAATACTTTTCTTTTCTACAGGGGAAGATTTGGAAATTTGCTCTGCATTGCATACTGCTAGAATAAATTAAATGTTAAATATACTTACAAACACACTTGTTGCTGCATTTCTCACGTGGCCAGAAGTTGTTCTGGTTACCAAGACAACCACCGTAATAAAAAAGCTCACATTTCCAAGTAGTTATGTTGAAGAAATACCGAGGCATGCGCGCCCTGCAAGGTCCCACTCTTTTTGGTAGATAGCATAATGGGTCCATGGCGTCGAGCTGACTGCCTGCAAAAGAGAGGAAAACAACGAAGAAAGTAAAACTTAAGGTGCAATACTTTTTTGAGTGAGAAAACGAAAAACGTGACAAACCATTTTATTCCAGCTGTAACAATTTTTTTTTTTTTTCCGACCATGGCGATGGTGCACAGCTCTTTGCCGGTCGGCCGCCATGGTGCAGTTAATTATCTATAGATCGTTTGAAGACCTCACATTTTCCACTTCCAACAATCACTAAAAAAAAA